AGGGGAGGACATCCATCACACAGTAATCTCGTGTATGGAAAGTTAACGTCTCCTACCCCAGCCCTGCAGGAGACGGGACCTCCATTTATTCGTCCCCATCCGAGAAGACTAGAATATCTAACCATTTCTTGATGTTATAGAAAGGTAGCAAATTCTTCTCTATTATTTTGAGACCCTGAGTGTTGGTCCGGCCGGGGCTCGAACCCTCGACCTCCCGCACATCAGTCCAGCGCTCTATCCATTGAGGTAACCGGGACGCGATTAGTACCAAGTGTCACTGTGGTTGCACTGAGCGAGTGTGAGATTGCAAAAATTGTATAACGGACTAAAAGAATATTGCTTGAAGGGTGAGGTAGGGGATGCTTTATGAAAAAATCAGCAAAGCTAAAAGCAAGAACAAATACAAAAAAAAAACTCGACGATTCATAACATTACAACCACTAGGGCCTGGACGTTAAGTAATAAAAGGTTCCCTTATCCGTCTAAAACTGAATTCCAATATGGCCGGCTACATTATCCAAATTCCAAAGACAAAAGAGATATTAAAGGACCACCTAAAGGCAGTAAGAGTTTACCTCCTTGACAAGTTGACGAGTCACTAGGCTTCAGCTGCACTCCCTCTGGGGAAAGGCATTGATAACCATGTGGATTTGGAAGACAGAGGTGACTGCATCCTCCATTCAGATGAGAACAACCTTTTGTACCTTAAAGGCATAGCGGAGAGATCCATCTATATTATGTTATCTTAATAGTAAATTTAAGCCGTTGTAACGGGTTTACTGAAGAAGGTATTCTCAAGGTAATTTTCGATGAAGGACAATGGTTCACAAAGGGAAAAATTCCTAGGAACTATGATCGAGAAATACGGTTAACGAGATAAACTAGGTTAGACTCGGAGTGGGACAGTATAAAAACTTGAAAAAAAATGCATAAACATTCAAAGAATTGATTTCAAGAATTTCCATCGTGAATTTCGGGCTTAACCTGAGAGCTAAAACATCCATTTCATCGATACCTACTTCATCTTCAGAGTTGTACTTGTGAGCGTCAATAATCTATTTGTACAGTAGTTTGTTTCTCATTTTTACCTTGCTCCTGTGGGTTTATAGGTGTTTCTATTTTCAATGCGAGGAAAATCAGCACATGAACGGCTTTTGCTCTACAGTCAGACCTCGGCTTTAATACGTCTATGGAATCATTATAGGTTACCTTTCGCTTCCCACGTGCAAAACTGAAGCTTAATAAACAGAGAGCTCGAGCGTGCTAATGGGATAAATGGGGAAAAAATCAAAACCTCACCTACTATTTTTTCCTTGTAAAATAAATTCCTCTTCAAAATTTCAAGTGTTGATAGAATGCCACTTGCCAGATAAACTCAAAGACAGGTAATTCTTGTCTGACTATCTAACCATTAATTCAGCATAATGTGAGGGTTCTTATTACCCCATTACAATGTAGAGCTTTTTTAAGGAAGATATTTCCTAAGAGATGACAAAGTGAAATATGCATACCATTAAAGATTTTTCCCGGGTCATAGATGTGCAACTCCATTGGTTTTCCCTTTCCACCAACAAATACTTCATCGTGAGAAGATGTCATGTTATATTTATGAACACTTCGGCTCTTCCAATCCGACCAGTAAATAACGTTATCAGACAGGTAAGTCCGAATGGATGTAGACTCCTTGATGCTAAATCAAGTACAAGGTTTCTGTTATTTCCTTGTAGATCCCCCCTTTCGATTTTATCGAGTTTATCATCACACCAGTACAACAGTCTATCTGCAGAGCCACGCAATCAAATTCAATATACGTAAGCGTGCTCATAATCCCGACAGTGCATACTAATAGCGTCAGAAAATCACTTCGCCAGAAAGTTTTTTCTTTTTTTGCGCGCGAGCGGCCACTGTTAGCGCGGGGAAAAATTATATATTTCGCAAAAATAATGGATATAAACACAGACTCGGCCCACTAGTCCCAAAACGAAGACACGTTTCCGACTTTTGTCATGGGCTGGAGTTTTTAAGTGAGGCAGAAAAAAGGAAAACAACGAAACAGGAGATTCGGCATCAGCGCCGTAACGATTCGCTTCACTTAATACTGTTGTCCGTTTTTCGCGTCGGATTTGATGCACAATTCCACCGGCTATGTTCTAAAACAATTAGTTCATGATTTTAGCTGTGTACTACCGAGTTATGGAGCCCGTGGGAAGTTTGGAGAGCACTCAAGAAGCTAGAGTTGCCCTCGGCTATTGCCTCGGGCAACCCATTACGCTTCTATCGCGCTCTCCTAACTTCCCACGTGCTCCATAACTCGATAGTGCACGCTAAAGCATGAACCAATTGTTAATTCAGGTTTGCCTGGCTATAAACGGATCACTAACTTATTAGTGTTAGAAGATTTCCTTAATTGTCCTCCTGAAATTCTTGACTTCTTATTTGCCTGCTTATTCGTACTTTTTTTTCGACACAGAGGAAATGTTTTTCACCAAATCCTACGAGCAACCAGGAAACACCAGCTTCCTTCTCTATATTTTGGTATCATTATTTACGGTTTGTTTCCAAGCTGCCATCATTGTCGGTTGCAGGTGTTTATGATGGAAAATACAGGGAATTCAGATTCTCCTCGTTTTGTCCATCACTTTCGATAATTTCTTTTTCTCGGTGTTGTAGCAAGAATGACACACATGTTCATTAGGACAAAGCACCATAGACTTAATGTTTTGTTTTTGCTTTTGTTGTTTGTTGTTTGTTTTTATTTTTTCATTTACATTTAACTTGTAGTCTTCGTTGAGTATGCGTACCTACTAGAATTGAATTCTGAAACGTATTTCATCTACCTGTGGGACAATGAGGGGCACTAGTATTGGTACTAATTCGTGCATTATTCTACACATATTGTTTTTGTTATATTCTTCTTTTCTTAGGCTATGCCATTGTTTTTGCTTTGCCCAACGAACTGCAGGAGTTGAAACACGCACTATAAGTTGGCGTATAGCGAGATTCCACTCGATGTAATGTCTTACCACACTGAGTCCCAGAATGGAAAAGAAAAAGACATGTTTTTAAGTAAAATACCAGACAGAGCGACAGACATGTATGACAGCAATGACTGAGCTGTATTTCACAGCCGTGTAAGCCACTATGCAAGGCTACATTCTTTCCCTACCTCAGACTCTCATAACCAAAAACATATATCCCTATATCCATATATGTCTTTTTTCCATCTAATATAAAATAATTTGGATATATCAACAAAGTTGAAATGGTAAATTGGCCACCGTAACGATTACAAAAGCTGACGTTTCGAGCGTTAGCCCTTCGTCGGAGCGAATAGAGGAATTGTGGGTTGTGTGTGCTTTTAAAGGCAGAAAATGGAGCTACGTTATTGGTGGGAACATGGCAACGAGAAAAACTCGTTGATGTATACCTCTCCTTGATGTATACATCTCCTTAATGTATATGTAAACGCCGCCACAGGACTGGTTTTTTCTGTCATTTCTCAATAACAGAAATCCTGGTAGTGAGACGGCTGAATCTGGTAGCAATTGTGAAAGCCAAGTCTCAGTTATACAAATGACATCAGTTTTGTTGTGAATGGCGACTTGATTTAATTCGTCAACCTTGTTCGATAGATTGCAAATGTTTGTAATTAAAAATAACCGCCTCCCGGTTAGCTCAATGGATAGAGCGCTGGACTGTTGTGCGGGAGGTCGAGGGTTCGAGCCCCGGCCGGACCAACACTCAGGGTCTTAAAATAATTGAGAAGAATTTGCTACCTTTCTATAACATCAAGAAATGGTTAGATATTCTAGTCTTCTCGGATAGGGACGAATAAATGGAGGTCCCGTCTCCTGCAGGGTTGGGGTAGGAGACGTTAATTTCCCACACACGAGATTACTGTGTGATGGATGTCCTCCCCCTGGGGTGGGATGGGTGGGATATAGGGCGCACTTAATTTGGAGCCTCGCTCTGTTGTGCGACCCTCACCACACTCTGGCGAAAGTGATTAAATAAAGCTTTTGTAATCGATATGGTGGCCAATTTACCATTTCAACTTTGTTGATATATCCAAATTATTTCGTTACTCGCACCGACGCAGCCCCAAACAGTTTCTTTCGAAACTATCAGCCTTTATTCATTTATATAAAGTAAGACCTTTACCCTGAACTCTCAAGTTAGAGTTAAAACATCAGTAATTGAGGCAACAAGATGGAGTGATCGTAGATGGAATCAAAGATGAAAAATCGGCTCTTTTATAGTCTAAGGATCGTATAAATGTTATCCTTATACACAATCTGGAAGTTAGATCGCGGTTCTGGTTTCTTTTCATAAAGAGACATGATTTCTGCCCGTATTGGACGGAATTTGTATTCTACTAGCAAGACGTTAAGAGAAAAAGTATGTTAAGTGATGTGGAGGGTTCATCATCCTTTAAACTGCAAATCCCTATCAACCATACCGGACAAAATCATTAAGGGGACAGCCATCGAATTTTAACATCTCAATTGATATTCATCGCGGGCCATTTCGACAGCCCATTTTAAAATTTCCTTTTTCCTTACTCCAATCATGGCTAAATAGTCAGACGCGTAACCAAACTTTCAACCACTTACAGCAAACACTAAGTTAAGGTTGTCATGTTTGGGTTTGATACCAAGTCAGACAATGCTCAAGTAAACGGCTGAAAGGTCATTATTGTTGAAAAGTTTTATTGTTTTAAGATAAGGTATGAAAATTCGGGCTTAAGCCATGCCATAAGCTGCTTGAGCATATTTAATTCCACCTAAATTAAAAATGTTCTCACCAACTCATTGTTTTCGGCCAGCTTGAGTTTCACCAAATGAAAAAAGAAAATGCTCTGCCTGTTTAAAACCGTTCCGTCAAACTACGACTCGCAATTGATCTTTTGCAGTCTTGGATATACATATTTTTAAACATTGCTCGAAATATGCTAAATTCGTTATGGGGTTATTTTTGTATGATAGATGAAGAGAAATAAAAACAAAAATACTAAAATAGTTGTAATAAATCAAGGCTTGCTTCCGTTACAATTTCTATCGCAACTCGTGGTACCAGATCATACACTTCTCTGGTAGAAAACTAATGAATCCTAGATACACATGTTCCTTTAAGCGTCTCCAAAGCAGGTCACAAAAGAAATTAGTATGCGTATTTTCAAATTACGTCAATCTATGTCCCCAAGGATAGCACCTTTTCCTATTAAGGCTATATGTACAAAAACACCATTCTTCTCTGGTCTTTCATGCCTCGGAGTAAGTAAATTCAAGTCTTTCGTAATCGTTTTGATGTATGTCACTTAAAGCGAAGTAGTCCGTATTGTTGTCCAACGGAAAACCATTCCTGTCAGGTAGTTTGGAAACATCGATCTCCATATAGACAGGCTCATTGACTTTGGGGTTATCTTTGGCAACTTCGTATACAGGATTGCGATATCCCAGGTCAATATCTCGGCTTGGGGTTGTTCTGTGCTTGGCTCTTTAAACAAAGCAAAATGGGTATCGTTACGTTGCGCAGCCTATTGATAGACTTAAGACTATCCTTGAGTTTCACCCAAATTCTCTAAGTTTCACTCCACTTTTCTTGATCACAGATAGCCATTATTGTGAGGAAAGAAAACCGAAATCTTTTATTGATGTTTATATAGATATATGCAGAAAAGTTTTGAATTTTGGCGATTTTTTTTTGGGCTTTTCAGTGAGCAGCTTTCCAGCGATTTAAAAGCTCGATCGGGAAAGGTCTGATAGTCATCACCAATATCCCTTTTCAGAGCTACACTTTCAATGAAAGCAAGAAGGCGAGATCGAATTTGCAACTTTCAAGATACAATGTAGAACAGGTTCGTTAATAAAAGCTGTGTAGTGGACACCATTCAGTAACACTTTGTCGTTTAGGCCTACTCTGGGACCTTAAGTTGCCTTAAGTCGCCTAAAATCACCTTAAATCACCTAAAGTCCCAATGTTTTCTCTGCCAATTTTACTTTGGTCGCCTTAAGTCGCCTTTTATCACTTCAGTCAAATAAAATCGCTTTAAGTCGCCTTAAGTCGCACTAAGCCGCTTTAAGTCGCCTTAAATGGCCTAATGTCGCGATGTTTCTTCTGCCACTTTTGCCTAAGTCACCTTAAGTCGCCCAAAGTCGCCCAAAGTTACGGTGACTTGAGGCCCCTGAGTGGTTTTACATCTAACAATGAATAAAAGAAGTTAGGTTGTGTGAGCCCAGGAATATTAATGAATGAAACATTCCGAACCCTAGTCCGTTTTTCTACCACAATTGGCAGTAACGTTGCAATCTAATTGTAAAATTTGCCGTAGTCAATAAGAGTAAAGACAACGCTGCTCGTGTCGACGCTAAACCACTGACGATTTGTCAACTTCTTCTTCTTCCTCTTCTCTTAGGTTTATACTAATTTTTTTTTCGATAATTAACCGTTCCATCGCATCAAGATCATGAAAGGCTATCTTTAAATCTCATTCAGGGTTCTTTGTGTCTTTTGGGCTAAATAGATCCTCTCTGAGACGATAACTTGATTTGTCTGATAACCAAGTTTGTCAAAGTAGCCTGACCGTGCCTATTCCGACATAGCAAAACAAACTCACCGAGGATGTTTCTTTGCGCAGAAGATGGCCATGATAGTCAGAGAAACAATAAACACTAGAGATCCTGCTGCAATACTTGAATAAAGAATTACTGACTTTAAGCCGTCTTGTTTATCAGTGCTGGACATGCTTGAAACTTCTAAGGAAAAAAAAGTGTAGATCGCAAGGAATCAGTTAACCGAGCCTATTGGGAAATGAAAGAACGAGCAAATAATAGTAACAAAAACCACAGGGATAAGATGCGAGAGCTAATAAAAATGTGGAACATCTTTTGAAATACATTTGTTACCTTGGCAGTTCTCTCGCCGTTTGGATCCTATTTTTCCAATGGTTACTCTGCCAGGTGGACACAACATACAAGAGCTTTGTGCTTCTTGGTCCTGGTATTGGTCTGCTGGGCATGCGTGACAACCGGTGTCGTTAAAGTAAAAGCCGAGTGGGCAGTTAACTAAAAAAATAAATTCAATAAGCAAATGGCCACAGAGTAATTCAGGAACGAAATAATGCAAAAGTAATACGTCACAATATTCCCATCCCACTGTAAGTGCCACAGAACGGGTAGATGGGTTCAATGAAAAGAGGTCTTGAATCGGCCTAGATTTTCTACTTAATTGAAATTATACAGTCCCATTACTCGTCTGCTAAGCGTACCCCCAGGTTCAATAAATTCCAGTTCACTTCCCTACCACATCCCCATAATGATTTTACACCAGCAAAAATGAAAATAAAGTTCTTAAGCATGTATTGAAGCTGTTATACAGTGAATTTGAGACTCATTTGCACAAAAATAAGTTAGTTAGCATAAGCAACCAACTTCTTACCGCACTGCGTCCCTCTTTGCACTTGTCCTTTGCCGCAAATAAGACTCGCGAGGCGAAGGTGTGGTGGTCTCGAAGTGTCATACTCTATGACAATTCCACTGATGTTCAGATTCAGATCACTTTCGTTTAATGTTGATAATAAGTTATTGGATAGAAGTTCTGCAGTTTGATTCAGGTCAACCAAGGAAGCGTTGGCTGGAAGGGGAACTTTTAAAGCAAAACGCACCGTAAGAGGAACACTGGGCGTTTCTCTTCTCCTTCGTTTCCCTCTTTCTCCACAGTCTACTTCGACATTATCGATTGTACACTGACCATTACAACCTCCAGCCTTTCCAAAAACTGAATTTTGGAATAGTTGTATGAAGTTGCTGGCAATAACTTCGTTCACTGATTCGTTACCACACTCATCAATTAGATAATGGAGGTCTCCATTCACTATAGCCTCTTTCGGCTTGAACGTCTCTGAAATAAAAGTTTCAAAATGGTCAGAGTGGCAATCACAGTTACAGCAAGTTCCGGTTAGGTGGACACCTATGAATGCAGATAAGACTGTCTAAAGGAATGATTGCAAGTTTTCTTATGGTTAATCGGTAAGGATAACCAGCTATGACAGAAAATAAAAGTGTCCGCATTCAAGAGGGTCGCGTTTGACCCAGCTAGTTTTCCACTTTTTCTACTACTGTGTATGTTAGGTTAAAGATTTTATTTAATTACAACTTTCATCGTACATGCTTTTTCCATATGCCTAAACGAAAGTTAGAAACTTTTAGCGCTGGCATTGTAACCTTCAAATATACCGTATAAACGTCTAACCTATAAATAAATAAAGTAACCTTAGCTGAAAGCTTTAAAATACAAGTAAAGTAACCTTAGCTGAAAGCTTTCAACATAACGCTTCATTGCATTTATCTGGAAAAAAGCTTACTATCATGACTTTATGCTTTTTTTCGGGTAAGCTGTTCTAGCATAAAAACAGTGATACAAATAAGAAACAAGCAACAGTCATTCCATACTTGAGCAGTCTGGAAAATGAAGTGCTTTTTGGCCATTTTCAAGCGCGTTCATCCATGTTCCACCTGGAGTACAGAAATATACGTCTTCCGGTTGATTTACGAACCCATAGCCTTTATTACAATGCACGGTGCACGACACCCCGGCCAACCACGTCTCACAAGCTTTGGCACCATTCTCAGGTGGTGCTAAGTCAGGGCATGATTCATCTAATGCAGAGAATAAAAAATTGACAATTTAAAAAAAAAACACATCAGTAAAGCGATAGGGCAATTTGTATAGCAGATTAGCAATACCTAACGTTATGATGTCGATATGTAAAAGAAAAGGCAAAATGTTCTAAGTTAACGTTTGTTGTTAGCTATCGTTCAACTTTTCTGTATGCCTTTGCATAAGATGTGGAGACACACACTCATTATGGCTCCATTAGGCCGGGAAAGAGACGCACAGCAATTTTTAGTCCAATATATATAAAAATAATAAAAGATTGCTGAAAAGAAAGGCCAAAATTAAGACCTGACCTTTAGTTTCTCCGATCAAAACAATTTGTTCTCTTCAATGCTTTGAGCTCTCTCTTGTTACACTGATGCAGGTGCTGACTCAGTAGTTTTCCTTGACTGTTGGTAATTTTGTTTTACAAACGTAATCGAAATGTACTGAAGCATATTATTTTCTAGCAGCATTAACAATCGCCTTCGGAAACTCTTGCAAATCATTTCTCTCGTTTTATCGAGCAATGGAAGTACATGAAATGGCGCACAAAACGATCATCGTCCCCAAAGTCATTTTAGAATGAATCTGGATTGAAACTTTGGCTGTAAGAACACCATTTACTTAAATGATAAACTGACTCTGCGTACATTGAATTGGTAACTACTATATTGCAGTATTTCATTCTTAGCCTCAGATTTCAGATTAGTTTGCTGAATATCGGTCGGCTCATATACAGAATCATCTCTTTTTTGCAGGCTTTTCTATAAACTAATCGAAAACTCATGGGGGCACAGGATGTTTTTTTTTTTTGTCCCACGCTCATGACGAGACAAAAAAGACATTTCTCTATTTGCATTTTCTGGGGAGCTACCTATTCACTGTCTTCTTCCATTAATCTACATGTACTTACCGGTAATAATAACTTTGAAATTGCATTCGGCAACATTTCCTGCTTTATCTGTGACAGTAAAAGTTACATGGTGCTCGCCCCAGGTGAACTCGCTTCCATTTGGTCTGCTGGGTATAATGGAGAAGACGCCCACATTATCCGATGTAGCGAGTCCAGGAAAAAAGATCATATTATCTTTGTTTCCAGTCGAAAGGAAGATATCGTCAGGGCAAGAAATGACCGGAGGCTCCACATCTTTTTTCGGTGCGCGGAAAAATAGACAAAAAATGAATACATGAACAAACTGGTGAACCAGTTAAACAAATGAATACAAAATTAAATAAATAGATGAGTGATTAGATGAGTGAGTAATAAGAAGTATGAAAGGTCTACAACTGAGACCAAACCAAAAGCTTGATTTCTTTTTTTTTTGCATTTCTGGACGACACGTATGCATTTTTTCTGTTTTAGCGATAGATTTTCTAATTCGAACCAAATGTCTTAGTCAGTGAAAAATTCAATTTAAAGTATATTGTGAACTTTGGTCTCTTCTCCTTCACCTTGTAAGAGTGCTTGTGATACGAAGATGACTGGGACTCAAAGACTCACTTCTAGCTATGTTTGTTTTAATAAATTTCTCTTTGCTTTCCTTGAACTCTTTGTGCATGTACAGTCTAATTTTTCTTACTTTGGTTCTGCTGAAGTCAACTTTTATTACTTTTAAAAGACTGTTCTAGTTTCAAAATGGGGCTCTATCAACTCAATTATAGCTCTAGACAAAGAGGCAAGTAAGCACCTTTGACGTGAATAGAAAATGTACAGCTTGTTGACAACCCAGCGCTGTCTGTAACTTCATATCTAACATAATCTCTGCCAGCATAGAACAGTTGTGGAGGGCGCAGACCTTTGAGACTTAATGACATGTTGGAGTTGTCGGAGGGAACTGGTATCTCCCACGTCACTATTGCATATGCTTGGCCAGTTTCTGTGGGTAGCTCTTGGTTAGGTGGGCATTGGATGCTGGGGGGTTGAACGTCTATGGTATTTAAAAAAATAAAATACACAATTTTTAAGGAATAAAGAACGCAAGCTGTAGTGATACACATAGATTATCGATTAAATAGCAAATACACATATCGACGCCTTGCCTTAATCTTTAGCTAACTAACTGCCTGAAGATGTATCATTTGGTATGAATTACAAATATGTATATGTCTGCATGTTGTACCCTTGCAAATCGTCTTTGTAGAATCTGCACTCCACGATCCACTTTCAAGACAGGATACCACAGTTTCGCCATCCAGTCGGTAACCAGGGGTATCGTCGCACGATAAGAAGCACTTGGTTTTATAATGAACACCAGAAGCTGATCTGCACTGATTTGGAAAAACGGTTCCATGAGATGGAGGCTCGATGGCTCGGCACTTCACAACTAAAGATCAAAAGTCGTAGGATTAAGCGCCTGATTTTGATGGAGCCATCAAGTTAACAAACCTCATACTGAACTATGTCTTGGAAACCTATAAAATTTACCTTTGATCTGGAAAGAGAGTCTAATTATTTTCAAGTTGACTCCGAGACAAAGAAGAGGGTAATGTTGGTTAGTAATGTTTTGTCACCTAATTGTCAAATGCCAAAGACTGTTTGAGTTGTGGAGCCAATTTCAATTCTTAAGAAGGTATTGGATACTTACATTGGAAAGAAAACTAAATACTTAAGACTGGAGAAGCTAACTCGCAAAATAACATGCAGTTATTCTTACCATTACATGTAGTGGTGTTTCTTGACCATGAGCCGTCTTTTTTGCATAAGCGCTCACGAGACCCGCTTAATTGATATCCCCTGTCACAAGTAAAACTAGCTTGGGAACCAAATGAGAAGCCACAGGAAAGGCTCAAATTTCCATGTGATGGTGGCTGCAGTTTGATGCAAGATTTCCCTGTAAAGATAAAGTTTTTCTATGTTAAACTAACGCACATCGAAGTTTTGAAATAAGTGTTGTACCCTAGTATTAACCTTTTAACTTCAAAAGAGAGATTTTTTATCTACTTGGAAACAATTTTGTTTGGAATAATTCTGAAGATAAGTATAACAAAAATAAAGCTATAATAATGGAAGCTATACATACATACATGCATACATATATACATACGTTTATTCAAAGCACTTGAAAACAAAGATAAATGTACAAAGAAGGCTTTAAAAAGGGAGTTTAGAAGGTTGGCCCTATGTAAAAAACTCCCAATAGAAATATCTTAACTATTCTAATATTAAGATTCTAATACTATGAAATATTTAAAATTAGTATATACTAAAACAGAGGATAGCGTTGAAGGCGCGCTCTGATTGGC